CCAGCCAACACCATGATTTTTAACTTGCAGCCTCCAAAACTCTGAGAGAATAAATTGCCTTTCTGCTAAGCCACCCAGTTTGTGGAACTTTGTTACTGCAGTGGTGGTTTTTCACAAGGGCTAACCAATAGGAGGCAAGAGCAAGACATGGGTAATGAGAGGTATCCCTGTTGCCTTGGTTTTCAAGAGATAGACCAAGAAGCAACAATGTCCTTAGGAGCTTGTTCAAAATGCAGACCTCAGACCCTGCTCTAAGCCTAACCATAAGATTTCCCCCTGAGGAACCAGTAGGTGATGTAGTGGTTGCCGTGCTCGACTCCCACATGGTGGACCGTGGTTCAAATCCCGGAACCAGCAGCTTGAAAATCACACAAGGCACATGAGCGTGCATGCCCAAAATCCCAAAAGGAGAATGAAGGAGAAGGAATTATAGAGTGGCCATCTCCCCTGGGGGAAGATTTCTCACTTTTTCTCCCTCTCTCTGTGTCTCTTGTGAGCACATGTGCCCCATAGGAAAAAAAAAAAAATTCTTAAAAAAATAAATTCCCCGGAAATGACTACAGCATAAACTATGTACCTGGGGAGTAACAACAGCAGTGTCAGCAAATGTAATTTAGCCCCTTCTAGCACTTGGCTCTGATCTAGGAGTTATATCCTGTGGTAGTTCAGTCAATTCACGTACTAATCTCCAGAGTATGTACTATTATTATACTCATTTTACAGAAAAGAAAATAGGTCATGTAAAGGGTTAATTGACTTTCTCTAGTCTTGCAAATACTAAATGTTGAAGTCAAGAAAATGAACTGCATTTACCCTTATTTATGTTGCTATTTAAGAGAGTAACACTAAAGAATTAGGTCTCTCTCTCTTCTTGATACTAAAACAAAAGCAAACAAAAAATAGAAATAGTTTACTTCTGGAAAAGGTATGTTGGAGGATTTTCCTTGCATATGGTAATTCAAAACTGCTTTCCCCTCCTCCTAACTCTACCCACCTATCTCCCATGTTTGTGAGTTAAACAGTAGAGAACTTCAAGATTTCCTCTATAAGGAGAATGGAAGAGGCATCATTCAACACTACAACAAAGGTTCATCATTCATGGTCTAGCTTTGGAAAAACAAATGTTCACTGATCACCATGGACCTTAAACCTATGAATGCTTTCTGATGGGAACCACATCTTCACCTGCAGCCATGAGAGTGGGAACTTGGTAGATGTGAGAAGAAAAGGAGAGAAGTTTTCTCCCACATGTGGAATGCACTTGGAAATCCATATTTTGTGGTGCTGCAAGACTTGAAAGAGGGAAGTGTTGCCCCTTATCTTCCCCAACACACATTATAATTAGCTTGCATATATCAAATATAAGTGTGAACTACTGGCTCTGCTTTGGATAAAGATAAAAGAGGCCAGATAAGCCCACTTTATGCCTGCCTATCAGAGAAGACCTGGGCATACTTCTTAGTCTTTGAACTTACACCCTGCCTTGAATAGACCTTACCCACCAAGTCTCCCTGTTGAACTCCTATGTATTTATAAAAACCCAGGTTGATTGTGCCTTCCTCAGTGAAGACTTCTATGTTTCTCAGTACTCACTCTGCCAGTACCCCTGATAAAAATTGATAACTCCTCCCCTGAGACATCATTCAACTGTATTTCAATTATTGCTATATTTAAATTTTAATAAATTATTTAAAATGTGTCCAACTGTATTTGAATTATTGTCTTTTTTATTAAGACTGTTATCATCTTAAATTCAATTATGACATCTAATTTATTTTTACATGTGAGTCTAGCACAAACCCAGTAAATATGTTTGCATGGGTAAAATTCTACTCTATACTATGAAAGTGATATTTAAACTTATTGAGAGTGTATATAATGCTCTGGTCAATATGATATCAAACAGTTACATGTGACACAATTTAAATGTATTAAAATAAAATCTAAAATTCATTTTGTCAATTGTATTAATGCATCTCCAACACTCCATAGCCACATGCAGCTATTTGACACCATGGTAGACAGCACTGATACAGAACAGTTTCAAAACTAAACAGTGAGACTGGCAATCGGTGTAATGATTATGTTGCTGGACTCCCACATGGCAGCTGAGGTTTTAGTCCCAGACCTGGCAGCTTAAAATTCACACTGGATGTGCATGCATTGATGCCCAAAATCCCAAGAGGAGAATGGAGGAGAAGGGATTGTGGCATGGCCATCCTCCCTGGGGGGGGGGGGTGATTTCTCACTTTATATCTCTCTGTCTCTGTCAAGCATATATGCCTCCTAGCAAAAAATATCTCTCAAAAACAAACAAACAAACAAGCAAACCCAGAACTGAACAGTTTTGTAGAATATTTTGATTTTTTTATTAACAGAACATCCCTTTAGAAATTTCTATGCACTTAATAAACTCCAGAAATAAGTACTTCTTATGGTTTTTGTTTCTAATTTTCCTTTTTTTGAGAGCTTTTTTCTATAGGGTTCATGCGGTCGCCAGAGAGAGACAAAGAGACAGAAAGTTAGAAATCATCCCTCAGGAGGGATGGCCGTGCTGCAATCCCATCTCCTCCATTCTCCTCTCGGGATCTTGGGCACGCATTCACGCACGCCTGGTGGAAGTTTAAGCTGCTGAGTCCAGGACTCAAACCTTGGTCTACTATGTGAGAGTCCAGTGACATAACCATTTGTCTCAGTTGTTTCTAACTTTCTACCAGGGATTATCTCAAGTTTGTAATGTATTCAATGCTAGTTTATTGGATGTATGGATGAAATAAGTATGCTAAACAATAAATACTATTTCCCAGTTAATACCTGATACCAGACTGTAAATGAATGTCTCTAACGTGATCACCTCATGAAAGTCTAACATGTAAATAAGTGAGCCAAACAAAAGCTTTGTACATTTCAGACAGTAACTATTAAAAGAATGTGACTTTAACTACAATAGCTTAGAGCTCTATACTTTAATTCTCACAATTCTCGTGATAATCCAAATATTTTTGTTTTCTGTCAAATTTATGAATAATACATAATTAAGTTCCTACCAGTATTGACAGTGTATAAGTTTCCTGTTTTCACTTTGGTTTATGACACAAATCACATTTCTTTAAATAGTGAACTCTGCTTGAGTTATAGCCATTATAAAATAGCCCGACGTTTCATAAAGGAAAGTCAGCTTCAGCTAACCATTTAACAAAGTTTAATTAATATTTTCTTTATTTATTGCACCTCTAATAAATGCAGAAAGATCTATTAGAACCTCTAATTGGGATTCTTAAAAAGCACTTGACATATGATGTTAATATAATGCTTCTCTGTGGCTGGCAGAATTCATTCAATAATCCTCAATATAATTTTAGTGGCTGAGTTAGCCATCCTTGAGGTTTTATTGTTTTCAAGAATTATTTTATTTAACTTTAGTTACTAATTTTATTTATTTATTTTTAATTTGACCAGAGAGGGACAGAGAGAGAGAGAAGGGAAGAGAAAGTGAGAAAGGAAGCCTCCAGTTCTGAGACTCGAACTGCAGTCGACCATGTGGGTGTCCAGTGCCCTTAACTACCATGCCACCTGCGGGCCCCCATTTTTGAGTTTTAATCAGATCCATTTATGTATCCTCCCCGTACTTCTCCTTATTTCTCTTGCTTGCTTGTTGGTTGTTTGTCCTTTGGGTTGATCAGTGTGGGACACACGCAGCCAATTTGAAGAGAGAGTAGACAGTCTGCTTTGGTACCTCTCTTATGGCAGAAGTTGAATCTCTGGGAATGCAAATCCTCCCTAATTGTCTTTTCACTTGGCTTCAAACAGTTGGTTCCCTTCCCTGTCAATGTAGCCACATGGGTATGAATGAACTCTCATCATTGCCTATTTCTACATGTCTCATCATCCTTTCTTTGGTGCAGTAAACTCTGATGATACTTAAATAGCCCCTTCATCAAATTTTAGTTAACTCTCTGGAGAAAATTCTGTTTTCTACCAGACCCTGACTTATATGCATATTAAAGGAAAAATCACTGGTGCTGGATACTTACCAGGCATTTTATGATGGGTAAATTATTTAAATTTTCCTAGCCTTGGTATACACTCTGCAAAAGTGAACTAAGGATAAAAATATTTGCTCTATAGAGTTGTAGAGTTGGCATGTAATAATTAGAAAAAAAAATCTTCTGACTATTCCTAAAAACTTTGAGATAACATGCTTTCACATTTTGTGAGATAAATAACAGGTAGGGGTAGTCAGCATGAAAATAAAATAAAGGCAAGAAAAGTGAAAGAACTATAGGAGATATTTAACTAAAGCTCTGTTCAAACTGTACCTGAAGGCTCATCTGATAGCAGGACTATTTTATATTCCCCTTTCTTGTGTAAACAAGTCTGGATATGTTTTTTAGGATTTGCAATAATGAAACATCCGACTTTACTGAAGAAACAAACTATCTTTACATATTTGTTTATTAGATGTTTATGGCACAAAAGTACTATTGAGTAAATATTTACTTCATACTAATCAGCCTGTTTCCCAGGCTTGTTTAACTGTCTGCCTTGATAGCTATTTCTAAATCCTACAGAAAAAAAAAAAAATCTAAAACTAGTGGTTAACTGAAAACAAAGAGTATTTCTACATCTGGAAATTGTAGAAATGTTCATACAAGTAGCCTGATTACACACATGGTAGCTTTTCAATTGTTTTAGTAAATTAAAATATTACTTCTCTAAATCAACTAAAAATATTACTTCTCTAAATCAACCTGACAACGTGGTCTTTACCATATAAGCTTAAATTGAATGTGGATCAAGTAAGTCATGATACCCAAATGTAAGATAGAGTTCAAAGAATTGAGTAAGAACTTGAAGAAATGTGTGGTTATTGTCAACCAAATAATAGCTAATTTCTTCAGAAAATTGAACTTAGGAAGTACTTAGAATTAAGCTTTTATACAATAGTAAGTTTGAATGTATTTTAAAATTTATTTCTTCAAAATAATGACATTAGCAAAAATTTTACATAGCCTGTATTGAGTTCACACATTCAAATGAGCCTTTACCAGTGATAATGGGGATTAATACAGAGCTAGCATTTGGCATTGAACTTTCTGTCAAATGAGCTAACTGCCTTATGAATTACAGAAAATTGATGCCCCTTTTGTTTAATTCCCTCTGAAAATTAAAAAAGAAAAGCTCTACTAAATTGTTCACATATATTTTAACTTGAAATTTTACATTTGATAAAATAAGAATATCTGTAGTACCTCAGTTAACATCAAAAAATAAGCTTCAAAAAAGGATTCTGAAAATGGCAGGCAAAATATCTTTTTTATTATAGGAAATTATTTAAACTGCATATTTGGCTTTATGCATAAGTCATGTGGGAAAAACATCCACATTGCAGTTAGGTTTCCAGTATCTAGCTTTCATTCTCTTTTTCTTTTTAGCAATGACATTAACAAGATCTTTCCAGATTATAGAAATGAGGGCTTTCTTGGGAGTTACTTGTAGTTTCCGAGCTGAATGGCAGCGCGCACATAGACACATCGGAAGGTGGGTGGCAGGATATCCCAGTAGTGGACAGGGTTGCTAAAAAGGCTTATACCTGAATAAGAAGCCTTTTTGGTGTTGTATCCAGGTGGGCAGAAGTCATTTGCTCCAACTACAGAGATATTGTTGTTATGAAGGTAGACAACCTGTAACATGAAACAAAGGAGAATGACCATATCTCCCTAGATATATTAAGGCCGTTCATATAAACAGTTTGTTTCAATATTTTTATCTTTTAGTTTGAATATCTTAATATTTCTAAACCATGCTTTTGATTTCTTTCTTCCTTTCCACACTTGCTTTACCTTTGTCTTCTCCATCTCAGTAAGTTGCATATCAGTCATTCCAGATACTAAGGCTATCAACATTATCATTATCCTTGAAACTCTTTTCTCTTGCACTCTCTATTCAATCAACAAATCCTGCTCACTTAGCCTTCACAGTGTACACGTTATACACATATCATTTCTTCTCCCCACATCTTGTCCAAGGATTTTCCAAGATTTCATTGTCTCTTTCTGGAATAGTGAAGTTCTGATTTTTCACCCAGTTCCTTCTTTTGCTTACCTAAAGTCTTTAATTTTTTTTTTTTTTAATTTGCTACAGGGCACATGCACTTGCCTGAAAAAGATGAGGGGGTAGGATAGAGAAAGTACTACCTATGGGGCATGATCACAACTCAATCTCTTCTCCATTTCTTCCTCCTTTTGGGATTTTGAACACACATGCACATGCACTCAAGTGTTTCTCAAGCCACAGGTCCTGGACTAGAACCATGTGGTCAGTCATAGGATCCAGCCACCTTAACACCAGGCTATAGATTTTTGTCATTCTTTGCTTGACTTTTGTTTTGTTTTTCTTTTAATTAGCTCCCAGATCAGTTATTTTTAAAAGTAAGCCATGTTATATAGGTAGAGATAGAAATAGATGCATGTTTTTTTTCTTTGTTTTAAAAGACTTTGTGCCATAGGGTATATGCACTCGCTGGAAAAAGAGAGACGGAGTAACGGAAAGTGAGAAATCATTCCCCAAGGAGAATGGGCACACTTCCATCCCTTCTCTTCCACTCTCCTCTCAGGATTTTGAGCATGAGCATACACATGGCCAGCATGATTTTCAAGCCACTGGTCCAGGATTTGAACACTAGTAAGCCATGTGTAAGTCCAGTGCCTTAACTACCATACCAAATGCTGGCCTAGATAGATGATATAGATATAGATACAGATATATACATGAGAGATGATGATATAGATAGATAGATAAATAGATAAGATAGAGAGCTAGATTGAGATATGGATAGATAGATGGATAGATATTAACCTCACCATTCAATGACTTACAAATCTTCCATGGTATGACATTCTTCTGCTCTCAACTCATCTTCCCTCATTGTTCAATCCAACCATCCTGCTCTACCCATTTTTCTAATATACAAAGCATGATCCCTCCCTATGTTGTCACACACTGCTTTCTACACACAGAATAATCTTCCTCAAGATGTCACTGCCTCTTTTAATTCATTTATTTTTTTCAAAGAGGCCATCTCTGATGACCCATTCTGTCATTCTTTGCCCAAATTTTATTTCTTTATATTTCTGTATAGTAATAATCACTGTGTACCATATTATGTATTTATTTGGTTTGAGTCTGTTTTCACTCTTGGAGAAGAATTTGTTCTGTTTGTTGATTTTCTTAGTACTTACTAAGATAGAGTAGATGTGCTATAAGTATGTGTTGAATAAATATTTTACATATTTGGTCTGCATGGACTATAATGGTCTACATAGAATATCAGAACAAAAAAAATGAAATGATAGACCTTTAAATAAAATGATATAGAATGAATAAACCATGTACAGTGAAGTCAAAAAGGGTATACAGTATTGAAATTAAAATAAAGCATCACAAATTGTAAAAAATACTTGAATGTCATAGCATTTAGAATAAATATACCTAGAAAGTTTAGCAAAAGTTTATTCTATGCTACAAATTCTATTCTACAAATACCATGATGTAATTCATTAGAATCCTTTTTTGAAATTTATTTTATGACCCTGTTTAAGGTAATAGTAATTTGCTCTTAGATTTTCTTAGTGTCACTAAATATCAGACTTATGAACTAAAGGACTTTAGAAATAAGTTCTCACTTTTACTCATTAGATGTGAATTCTGAAAACCAATAAGTGTCTTTCGAAAGATAATACAACCAAATCTAGAATAGAATGCCAAGATGGCAATTTTTTAAAGGCGAGCTGTAAAATCTATAAGATACTCTCTTTAAAAATTCACTTGAAATGTTTCTTTACCAGAACATTCATATGTATTTGGTGAAAAAGACTTGGTTCTGAAAAGTTTGAAAAGAAAATAGTAAAAATAAAATTTAAAAATACAGAAACAAGGAATATTAAAGTCAAAGTCAGTGTAAATATGAAGATTTTGGGAAGTACTTTTGTGATTCTTAAGTTTTAAAAATTTCTTACTACCATTTATCAGTCTCCTTTTCAGCAGGGATTATCAATAAAAAGATAGCACATTTGTTAAGAGTTCACAGCTAACATTGAAAGCAGGAGAAGAAAATATTGACCTAAAACAATATTTTCCCATATGAAAAAGTAAAGTAGGTTTGTAAGCCTACCCAAATTAATTTCTTATTCAGTCCAATTCTAATCCAATTACCTGAGACATTCTTCACAGAAATAGAAAAAAAAAAAAAGATTTCAAAAGAGTCTGAGTTCATAAAAGACTTCATATTGCCAAGGTAATACTGTACTACATAAATTTTTAAAAGAGGTAACTAATTACCCAACTTTAAAATGTATTACAAAGCAGTGATATTCAAAATGGCATGATACTAACAGAAAAAAAATAGATACATATATCAATGGAACAGAAAAGAGAATCCAGAAATAAACCCTAAATCATACATTCACCTGATCATTGATAAAGGGGATAAGGCAATACAGTGGAGAAAAGAAAGTATATTTAGCAAATAATCATGGAAGAACTGAATATCCATCAGTAGCGAAAAGAAATTGCACCACTATCTCTCGCCATTAACTAGAATTAACTCAAAATGGATTAAAGATTTAAATACAAGGCCTCTAACTACACAATTTTTAGTAGAAAATGTAGGAGAAACTTTTGAAGACATTGGAGTAGACAAATACTTCTTAAATAAGACCCCTAAAGCATAGGCACTACTCCCTAAAATAGACAAGTAAGATTACATGAAGCTAAAAAGCTTCCTCAGAGCAAAGGAAACCATAAGTAGAGTGAAAAGACAATCCTCAGAATGGGAGAAAATATTTACTAATTATTCTTCAGACAAGAAATTGATATCTAAAATATATAGAAAACTCAAGCAGTTCACCCATAAAAATAAATAAATAATACAATTAAAAATGGGAATATAAATTGAAAAGAGAACACTCTAAGGCAGACTTAGGAATGGCCAAGAGGCATATAAAAAATGTTTAAAATATCTTGTCATAAGGGAAATGAAAATTAAGACCATAATAAGATGCCATTTAACTCCAGTTAGAATGGCTAGGATCAAAAATCTAAAGAATGACAAGTGTTGGAAAGGCTATGATGAAAAGAGAACTTGCTTACACTGTTGATGAGAATGTAAATTACTCCAGCCCCTATGGAAAACAATATGGTAGTATCTCCAAAGCCTACAAATAAAACTTCCATATGACTCTATAATCCCACTTCTTGGTATTTACCCAAAGGATAGGAAAACACTCAATTGGAAAGACACTTGCACTTCCATGATTATTGCAGCATTATATACAATTGCTAAAATATGGAACCAACTTAAATGTCCCAAAACTGTTGAGTGAGTTAAAAAACAGTGACACATAAATTCGATGGAATATTACTCACGTATAAGAAACAATGAGATCCTATCTTAAAACTCTATCTCTGTTTGACTCAAAAGGTATAAATATAGAACACTTAATGTTGAGCAAGTGAGCCAGACTTTGAAAGATACAAATTGTATATTCCCACTTAATTTGTACTGAGTGCAATGGCAGAGGTTGAGAGACTTGAAAATGTGATGATGGAGAGGATGGGTGTAAATGCTAGAGTATGCATGCATGTGTCTGTGAACTGAGCTGGCTGAGGCTGGGTCTAGATTCTCACGTGAAGACCCTATTGGAGTTGCCTGTTTCTCTGTCATACAAGGAATAAATCTTTTTTTTTAAAGTATCTAAAATAATAAAGCATTTAGAAAAAAATAATAATAAATGCAATAATTATATGGCCAAATGGACAAAGTGTTACTAGGAATGATTAAAGAGAGTCAGCCCCATAGCATAGTGGTTAAGAAAAGTGGATCCCACATGGATGACCACAGGTCATACTCTGACCTTGGTAGCTTGAAAGACATTTTGAGCATTTGTGCATATGTGCCCAAAATTCTGACAGGATGGAGAAATGGAGGAGAAAGGACTGCAGTGTGATTATGCCCCATTAGGGGATGCTTTGTCCCTCTGTCTCTCTGATGAGTGCGTGCACCATCTGGGAATTAAAAAAAAAAAAGAATTATTAAAGAAGATATAAATGAAGATATAACCCTTGTTCATGAGGTGGAAAGCACATATTATTAAGACAATAATTCTCCCCAAGTTGATCTATAGATTCAATAAAAATTCTTTTCAAAGTCCTCAAAGGGCATTTTTTTTTTTTTGAGGAACGAACAAACTGATCTTATAATGTATTTAAAATCAAAAGAGCCAGAATAGTCTAAGCAATTGTGAAAAATAAGAACAAAGCTAGAGAACCTATAATTCCCAATTTCAGAACTTACATGCTACATTAATAAAAAGGTATAGTACTAGCATAGGACAGATAAAATGGATAAATGCAATAGAATTGAAAGTCCAGAATTGAGTGACTTTAAATAAAGATGCAAGGCAATTTCTTGGAGAATGTATAGTCTTTTTAAACAAATGGTGGAACTGGCTTTACACATGAAAAATGGGTTAGACTTTTAATTCACAATTAATAGTATGGTTATCTTAGAGCTGGATTACAGACCCAAGTATGAGTTAAAATTACAGAAGTTTTAGGAGTGAAAAATAACAAAAGTTTTAGGAGTGATAGTATTCTTAAATTTAATTCCAATACTATGATGTATAAAACAAAGTAAAAATGATAAAGTAGATCAATGATTCCCTGTGGGTAGGGATAAGATTGAGAGCTAAGTAAAAAGAGATAAGAAGACTATTTTTAAGGGTAACAGAAATGTCTAAAATTGGGTTGTGATGGTAATTGAACAGTTCTGTATTTTGCTAAGCATGATTGAATTATATAAAACAAACAAACAAAAATGGTTGAAATCCCTAGAAGTCTGTAGGAATGAAGATAAACATGGCCTGTGGGAAGCCAATTAGAGACATAAAACAAGCACAGATCCTTCTCAATGTGCAGCGCTGTGCAAATGCCCACAGGCTTGCTTATATTCAACCAAGACTCCAAACATACTGCATAATTTTTCTCCATGATCTACAGTGAGAAACACATTATATATGTGATATTTAGCATATATGTACTTTGCATATAAACAAATTTTATGAAATATCATTACAGTGATCTATCTTCCTATCCTAGCCCATCCCATCCTACCCTACCCTATTATATTCTGATCTATTCTAGTATTTCATTTTTTGAATGTTTCTAATGAATGCACCAAGCTGATTTTATGAACTCTATAATACGTTTTGAGTGATATCTTAAAAACAGCAAAAATGTGAAAATGGGGAGCAGCAGATGGGGTAATGGTTATGTCATTGGACCTCCAGATGGTGAATCACAGATCAAGTCCCAGGCCCAGGCTTGAAACTCACACTGGGCACACGTGCATGGATGGTCAAAATCCTGACTAGAGAATGGAGAAGGGATTGCACCCCTTGGGGGTAATTTATCACTTGCTGTCACTCTTTCTCTGTTTCTCCAGAAAGCTCATGCACTCTATTGCAAAAAAAAAAAAAAAAGAAAGAAAGAAAAAGAAAAAAGGAAAACTGTGAAAATGTGGTTAGGAAGTGAAATGGAGTTAAGGCACTGGATCCCACATGGCTGATTCCACAGTTTGAGTTTGAGTGTGTGTGCATGCTCAAAATCCCAAGAGGAGAATGGAAGAGAAGGGGTTTACAGCTAGGCCATCCCCCTGGGGAATGATTTCTCACTTTTGTGAAAGTGTGACTAGTCAGTGGCATGGTGGTTAAGGCACTGGATCTCACATGGTTGACTCTATAGTTTGAGTCTCAGACCCAGCAACTTGAAAAACACATTGGTTGTATGTATATGTGCTCAAAATCCCAAGAAGAGAATGGAGGAGAAGGGATTATAGCATGGCTATCCACCCTGGAAAGTGATTTCTCATTTTCCTTTCTCTCTCTCTCTCATTGGTCTTTCTCTGGTGAACACACCAGATCCCACATAACTGATTGTGTTTTGAATCACAGTCCTGGGAGTTAAAAAATGTCCAAGTGTGTCCTAAAGTTCTGACAGTATAAAGAAATGAAGAAATGGAAATTGTGATGTGACGACACCCATTGAGAATGCTTTCTCCTTCTCTCTCTATCTCTCTGGCAATTAAAACGTATGAAAATGATTGTGCTGGGATATTAAAAACAAAATAATTTTTAAAAAAACTACCAGTAACAAAATTTGATATTAAGTCTTCTAAGCATCTTGATTTTATTTGTGGTTTCAAATTCTGATTATCACTTTCCACTGGTACAAAAGATTACACATTTATAAATTGAACATCTTATTGAGATCTGGCTAATGTAAATAGTGCTATATCAATTTAATGTGGAGTTTTTTTTCACAATGCAGTATCAAAAAAAGAGATCATGAGACCAGCAGATGGCATATTGGTTACGTCATTGGTCTCCCACATAGCTAACCGAGGCTAGGTCCCAGACCTGGTGGCTTCAAAATTGTACCAGGTGCATGTGCATGGAAGCCCAAGACCCTGGGAGGAGAATGGAGGAGAAGGGATTGTGGCATGGTCATCCATCATGGGGGGTGATTTCTCACTTTCCCTCTCACAGTCTCTCTCTCTCTCGCTCTTGCTCTCTCTCTCTCTCCAATAAGCATATGCACCCTAAGGCAAAAACCTCTTAAAGAAAAAAAATTGTGATTTATTGACATTGTTGACAATGTCAAAAGAAGACAATATTTATAAAAGATAAACCTATCCTGAACTCCAAGTATTGGTTTATCTACTAGCTTACCAAAAGAGCAACTTCATACCCTTATTTTACCTATAGAAGAATGCCAAAACACTGTCTGAGTCACCATGATAGGCTTAAGTATGTATGTAATTTCTGAAAGAAACAAAATTTAAGTATGACCTTTAAAAAACATTGAAAAAATAGATCAAATAAAGAAACATATAAAATCTATAAATAATCACATTATTGAAAAACTTAAAACTGAATCATTTGAATAACATTTTTGTTTTGCTTCAAGTAACAATGGAAGTCTGACATTGTTATAGGTGAAATTATAATCACTACTTGAGCAAATAAGTTTGCCTTTCATTTGTCCCTTTACAGGATAGAAAATGCTATCACCATAGTGAACCACTGAACTATATCTTTTTAAATTACTGAATACCATAACTTGATAATTTTTATAAAGTTAATTCAGTCACACTGCTAGCTAGGCTTCCTCTTTTGAGATAAATGACATCTGCTGAAACCGAAAGTTAAAACTATTTTAGGTGTGATGGTTAAGTAGACCGATCCCACATGACTGACTGTTGTTTGAGTCCCAGTCCCAGCAACTTACAAAACACTCTAAGTGCATGTGCATGCGTGAGTGCCCAAAGTCCTAAAGGAAGGGAGAGATGAAGGAGAAGGAACTGTGGCATGAACATTCTCTGTTCCCTCATAGAGAGTAATTTCTTTTCCTCTGTCTCTCACTCTTTCTCTGTGTCCCCCTGATGAGTAAACATGACCCCTGATAAATTAAAATAGGTAAATAAATATATAGGAAAAACCAATTTTATTTTCTACCATTGCTTCACAGATGATATTGCTTTCCCTAGCCAGTATATTGGTTACAATGATCTGGGACCTAAAACTTCCTTGCTTCATAAAAGATGTATTTGGGCAACAAGCATTATAGTAATTTCAAAATAATAGTGATGATTTTTGAAAATGAATAATATAAATATATGTTTTATATAAAGCCAGGATGAATATTTATGTGGAAACATTAAATAGATCTCTCTTCACAACAGATTGAACATTTGTATCCTCCTAAAAATTCTTATATCGAAAACCTATTCCCAGTATAATATTGGAGGTGGGGCTTTTGGGAGGTAATTAGGTCATGAGGGCGGAGCCCTCATGAATGGAATTAGTGTCCTTATGAGAAGAGACCAAAGAGCTAGCAAGCTCTGTTTCTACCATGTGAAGATGAAAAGAAATGGCAGCAGTCTCAACCTAGAAGAGGGCCCTCACCAGACTTCAGGCCTCCAGTACAGTGAAATATAAATTGTTATTTAAGCTACCCACTCAATGATACTTTATTTTAGCAGCCCTAGCTAAGATATCTTGGGAAAAAATTTTCTAAATAGAGCTTCCTCCTTCATAGCATCCAAGTAGAGAGGATTTACCCCCTAGCTTTTTTTTTTTTTGGGGGGGGGAGGGTAAGTAGTGGCTCTGCATTACCTGGATGTACTTGTGCTCTGCCAACCCAGGGGGTACTTTGGTAAGCTTGTTGTTGTCCAGGTGAATCTCCCTCAGATGAGGTGTGTTGGCCAGGGTGCCATTGTCGACAACAGAGATGCTGTTGTAACTGAGTCCTAACCTGTAACAGAAAGCAGAAATGGATGTACACAAACACATAGATGCCTTTCTTCCAGATACTATGTGATTAATCGGGTAGATAGAAAAGGATGTTCTTTTGGTTTTCCATATACTGTTCCCTCAGTGTAAAGCATCTTTTCCAACCTTTTAAATCTGGACAAAACCCTTTTATTCTTGACGTCTCATCACAGGATTACATTCTTTGAGATTTATCTGGTGAACACAACTGAATGTGCATCTTTTCAAATGCTCTGTAGAATCCTGTGGGCAATTTCTTACTACACTTAGGGACTCTCTTTTAAAAGCCTGTGTGTTCATATGCCTCTTTGTAATAACAAAGGTATATCCAGTATTAACACACACTGCTTGGTATTCTTCATAATAAGTAACTATTGTATTGTTTTTTTTTTAAAAAAGAATTATTTTATTTTAGCTTTTTGTTTTTCTTTAAATAATTATTTATTTTATTTTATTTATTCATTCACTTATCTTTTAATTTGATTAAACACACACAGAGAGAAAGAGAGAGAGAGAGAGAAAGTGAGAAAGCAAGCCACCAGGTCTGGGACTCCAACACTGGTCAGTCATGTGGGAGTGTCCAGCACCTTAATCACCATGCTACCTACTGGTCCCTTTATTTTAACTTTTTATTTATTCATTTTTAAATTTGACCAGAGAAGGACAAAGTGAGATAGAGGGAGGGAAGGAGAGAGGGAAAGTGAGAAAGCAAGCCTGGACTCAAACTGTGATCAACCACATGAAAGTCCAGTGCCCTTAACCACCACGCCACCTGCCAGCCCCTTGAATTATTTTCTATATGTAATAAAGACAGTATATTTGTTTGAGAAAGAAGTAAAAGAAATAGTATTATCACTTTATTTACTTTGGAAACTGATCAATTTTACATTTATCATACAAATATATTAATTGAAAATAAAAGGGTAGGTCAGCAGGTGGCATAGTAATTAAGGTACTGGACTCTCACATGGCCAGTTTAAGTTCTGGACCTTGCAGCTTGCATGTCACACTGGGCATGTGTGCATGTGTGCCCAAAATTCCAGGAGGAGAATGGAGGAGAAGGGATTGGTGCATATTATCCTCCCTCAGGGATGATTGTTGATTTTCTCTCACACTATCTATCTCTCTCTCTCTCATGAAAAACAAAAACAAAAGAAAGAAAGAAGAGAAAACGAGAAAAAGCAGGGTGAAAAGGAAAGGAAAAGAAAAGGAAGGGAGAGGAAAGAAAGGAGAGGGAAAAAAAAAGAAGAAAAGAAAAGGTACAGCTTTCTAAAATACCAGTAAACCTACCTGCTGGAAAGGTTAACAGAATTAGCCATTTTGCATTAGTCTGAAAGAATTTCATAACAGTCACTTTCAAGATTTGCCTGGTGACAACACACCTGCCTTCTGACCTAGACCTCTGACCAGATCTCTTGATCTTGGTACCTTTGATACTTTTTTTCAATTCCTTTAAGGTAGTAGTTTATATTTTTTAACTAAATGCATAACATATGAGAGTCCTGCTGCTGCGGTTTCCCCTCATAGTAGTCAGAGATCAACTTAAAGACACAGCTAGTCTGTTCAACTTTCTGGAGATAAAAGCATCAAAAGTGGAGTGATGTCAGTCCAAAAGACAGAGAGGGAATACCAGGAATAATAAAAAATGACAACGAAATTCAGCCAGTAGGCTCCAAGAAGAGAAAGAATTCAGGTTCCTTCAAATGCAGTGGAAGAGATCTGGACCCTTTTAGTAGAATGGTTTCTGCTAGTTCTGATCTTTGACCCCTTTTGAGATTTTGATGCTGGCTTAAGTAAGCAATGCTTTCTAAGTTTAGTTATGACTTGATATTGAAATAATAGATGTTAAACTTTACTGATTTTAGGCTATTAATAGCACAGTTGGTTTATCCTAGCTATTGATTTAAAAAAAAAAAAAAAGTTTTTTGCCATAAGGAAGGTACACTCACTAGAGAGAGAGAGAGTAAGAGAGACAGAAACAATGAGAGGGAAAGTGAAAAATCACCCCCCAGGGAGGGATGGCCATGCAGAAATCCCTTGTCCTCCATTCTCCTCCTGGGATTTTGGGCACACATGCACATGCACCCTGTGTGATTTTCAAGTCACTGGGTCCGAGGCTTGAACTGCAGTGAGTCATGTGAAAGTCCACTGATGTAACCACTGTGCCATCTGCTGGTTCCCCTAGCTACTGATTATGAACTTGGCATCTTGGCTCAGAGCATTTTGTTTATCCATCAGTCTTCGTCATGCATCTCTTGGTTTTAGACTTTCATTTTCTATTTCAGAATGGTGTCTTCTATTCTCTACAACACTCCCAGTTCCAATATCGATTTTGGACTAGTGTATTTATTAGGATATAACATTCTTAATAATCTATTCAATCCTATGGATACACATGCACACACACACATGCATATACACACAGTTGTATGTCACAAAATGATACTTCAGTTACCAATGGATCATATATACAATGCTGGAGCAGTAGGATATACCACATAGTCTTGGTATGTAGTAGGCTGTACCATTTAGTTTTACATATGTACATATTACAGTGTTCACATAATGACAAAAATGTCTAATGACACATTTCTTAGGGATATTTCCACCATTAAATGACACATTACTGTGCATGTACACTCACATACTTAATAAGAAAGGTAAGGGAAGATTGTCAAAAAACCATTTCACTTTTCTGCAGAGGAGCATACACTATTTTCTCCCAACTTATTCCAAAAAATGTATGGGAATATTTGCCCTGAATCAGTGTTCTGGCTTCAGTGGCTGTTGCTTCTCTACAGCTTTGATTTTCAATACCAAAATACTTCTTACTTCCAACATTAGTAAGGAATAAATAACATAAAAATTTGATGGTTTAATAGACAGATTTGATTTCAGAAGGAAATATGTTTGACAAGTTCAAGACTTGAGAAAATTAGCCTGAGGCAGCCTGCTCTAATATAATGAATGGTATTAAAACCCATTTGAAGAGAAGTCTGAATTTCTATTGGTCTTTTTAAAGTTCATTGCATTTGTATCCTTGATATGATGACATCAATATTCAAGTTTAAGGTCTTAAAATTTCCATACCACTTCCAGCAAAAAATAAACTTTAAATCTAAAAAGGCACATATTTGGGACAGCAGGTGGAGTGGTGGTTAAGGCATTGGATACTACATGACTGAGCCTGCAGTTCAAGTCCCAGACCCAGTGGCTTAAAAATCAAGCTTAAAATCCACACACATTTATGCGTGCATGCCCCAGATTCCAAGATAAGAATTGAAGAGAAGGGACTGTGGCTTGGCTATCCCTTCCTGGGCTGTGCTTTCTCACTTTGCCTCTGTGTCTCTGTCTCTCTCTGATAAGTAAACACCTTATCGCAAAAAATCTAAAAAGAAAAAATAAAGAAAGAGGAGGAGGCATACATTTATGAATGAGTTATGTATGAATTGCTACATTTAGAACTTTAGAATGTTACTTGTCCCCTTGGGACCAGCAGTTGGTGTAATGGCTATGTCGCTGGACTCCCATGTATTCAACCATGGTTCGAGTCCCAGACCTGGTGGCTTAAACTCATGCTAGGCACGTGTGCGTGTGTGCCCAATGGGGGAAAAGGGATTGTGGCATAGCCATCTCCCCCAAGGGGATGATTTCTCACTTTCTGTCTCTCCGTCTCTCTGTGTCTTTCTGGAGAGCCCATGCGATCTATAGCAAAAAAACCTCTCCCAAAAAAAAGAATATTGCTTGCCCCTATTGCATTACAATTGATACAATACTATGAATTAAAAAACAATATCTATTCTAAAGACTGCTCTATACAATAAATGATGCAACTTCTCTGCCTGCATTTTTCTGCAGCTAGAGTGATCTAAGTAACAAAGAAAGGTAGGCAATGCATATAAAACTACTATGGGAAATGTTTTCTCGGGACCAGCAGTTGGTGTAATGGCTATGTTGCTGGACTCCCATGTAGTTGACCACAGTTTGAGTCCTAGACCTGGTGGCTTAAATTCACGCCAGGTGCTTGTGTGTGCATGCCCAAGATCCCGAGAGGAGAATGGAGGAGGGGACTGCAGCGTTGCCATGACCACCCTGGCATGTGATTTCTTGCTTTTTGTCTTTCTATCTCTCTCTTTCTGGCAAGCACACAAGCCCTATAGCAAAAACCTCTTCGAAACAGAAAAACAAAAGAAATGTTTTCTACAGTAGATACTACAGTTAAAATTGCTCTTGATGAAGGATATTCTGTTATTTGAGATCCCAAGGTAGTATATTGTAGATATAACCACTGACAAGTTCATTTTCAGCCTTTACCATTCACTGGGTCATTACAAGACTATCCGCAGAAATCAAAGAAGCTGCATTATTCATCCAGTTGATTTTAGTTATTTTTCAGATACAAGCATCTGCTTTACATTTATTTATCTACCATGAAATTTATATACAAAAAGAGAAGTAAGTCAATTTGATATAAACTGTGCTTCTTTTTAAACATATTTGGCAGTATGTGTGGACCAAGAATTGTAAAGAGAAATGAAAATGTTTGCCATCACTTTTGTCTTCTTGTAATTTAAATAAACTGTAAATATATTGGGTTTTCAGGAAACTCATGATGCATTTTGCATAGAAAAACACATGCAAATACATCATGATTTTCCCAACAACCTAGTAGAAAGGTTGAAGTTAGATGGAGAAGCAGGACAAGCACAAGTAATAAAAAGCTTGGGACAAGTGGATTGTGTAATGATTATGTCGCTAGACTCCCTCGTAGTAGACTGCCATTTGACTCCAGGACCCAGTGGCTTAAACCTCAGACTGGGCATGTGTGCATGCTTGTCCAAGATCTTGAAAGGAGAATGGAAGAGAAGGGATTGCAGTGTGGCCATCCCCGCTGGTGGGTGATTTCTCACTTCTGTCTCTCTGTCTCTCTGATGAGCACACATGCCCTATAGCAAAAGTCTCTCTTTCTAAAAATAAAGACAATAATAATAATAATAATAAAATGTTAAGAAGGTCCAGAAAAAAGAAAACTTTTACTTTTGTTGGCTTACGTTAAATGTTGAGAGTTATTTTACTTTAAAGTCTTCAGAGAATAAGATGAAGGAGAATCTCCCCATAACTATTCTAACAGTGATCTGTGGGAGATCAAAAATTTCCTACCCTAGATGCTTGCATTTTAATGTATCTGCAAATTTGAACACAGTGCTAAAACTTACTTAGCCTTCTGTTTGATGAAATTAGAATATATATTGAACATACCTATTTATTCACATATCTTACACACTTGAAATAGTTCATAACTGATCGAAATACAGTATGGTATTCACAAAGTGTAAGACTAGTCTTGGTGGTTTTAGTAGATGTAATATTTCATTGAATATTTTTCAAGAACTAATTTTATAAGTTGAAGATTGAAGTCATTAGACACAACAAAATATGGTAGAATAAAAAATCAGTCATCATATTCTGTATGTCGAGGCACTAATATTCCTAGCCATTGGTGAAGAAGAATGACATGAAAGCGTTTTATTACTTAGCCAAATTGTTCATTCCTTTCAGGCTAGCTGCATCAACTCTGCTGATTTTGTTGCCATCAAGATGTAATTCAGTAAGGGAAGGAGGAAGACCTGGAATATGGAAATACAAGATATTAAATTACTAGATAAACATTATAAGTACAGAATGTAGAAAGATGTAAAGAGGACATATATCATTACTTTTGTAAAAAACATATCGTTTCAAAGAATCATTTTTGCTTTTCATCTTTTTCCTTCATCCGTTTTATAATGATATAGTATTTTGGAAGTAGTATAAGTCTTTGTACTTCTAGATTGACTTTAATAAAGCATGAACCATTTTTATTATGTAGTAGACCGATGCTAGTCTTAGCATTTGAAAAACTTAAATCAAACCGTGAATCCAATTATTCTTGTCCACCTTTGTTATTGAGTTAACAGTACCATTGATAAAAGATATTAACTGTAAAATGGGGTAGATGAGAATTTGAACTAAAATAAAGAGATTATTTATAAGTTGTTTATATACAAAGCATAATTAATAATTAACAATAATATCATGTCCTGGTGTTAATCTTAATCAGTTTTTCCAGAAAAACATCGAATGTCTCTGCAATATGGCCATGTAGAAAGAGCTAAAATTTACTTAGACATATTAAATCAAGACTGTATCTTTATACAAAAGTAATGTAGAGTCACAAAATCAAGTTATCTGAGTTATCTGCCATATGTAGAGCATCAGGGGAAATAATTTTATGTCCAAAGTACCCACTAAACTTCTGGATAGATCCTATTGAATAGCTATGCTGTACAAAGATTTTGTCGTGTAAAACTAAAAATTTAAATATTCTATCTTCATTTCTTCTTGCTCTGAGAATGTATTGTTTTAATACAGCTTTTAAATAGCATGTTGTTCCACTTAAAAGAATACCAACAATGACAAAGAAAATAGCGAACTAGCTACATATAGAATTAACATCTGATTGACAGACAGTTTAATTCAATGTAAAAAAATACTGGAAATTGATTTCTTTTTATAGGTAAGGAAATAGATTCAAAGTTGCAAATTGTCTACATTATTTATGCCTGATTTAAGGAAGGTACTATGGTCCCAGATGGCCAAAGGAAGTTAAAATAGTATGTTCTTAATTAAAGGAAATGAAATAACAATTGCATTATCCTTACGAATAATCTCTCAGAAATTATAATCACTATGAAAATAAGGAGTTTAAACAATTTGATTCTCATTGTAATAAATAAATAAGTATGGATTTAAAATACTCCTAGAAGGAAAGTGAATATATAACAAAGGAAATTGAATGTACATCCTTTCTTCTCCCTCAACAGGAAAAGATCATTTTAAAACACAGTGCCCCTAGTACACCGAGTAGTATAATATCCGTCACTCTACCTAGTTTCTAGGTATCCATCCTTCAGGGATGTCAGTTTCCCAACAGTAAAGTTATAGCCAAGAGGGTGCTTGACCATGAATAAAAACTTTGCAATAGGACAGAGAGAGGCATATTTATAAAGAGTAGCATTAGCATTTGCCACTCAGACATTTAGCTAAAGAACCTGTACGATAGCTACTTTTATTATTTTTCTTTTTCTTTTCTCTTTTTATGATAAAATATATTGAGGCTTGTATTGGGCCAAATACTGTGTGTGAGTACATTATAGGTCTTACCTATATCTAGTAATCTTCACAATATTCTTAGAAACTAGGTGCAATTCATTGATACGTATATAGTACAATAATATATGTGTGCATGTTGAGATATACTGACATGCATACACACACACACATATATATGTGTGTGTATATATATATATATCCTGCACTAGAGATCAAAATCACTTGTTACAGGAAACAAATTGAAGACTGAACATGAAATTGCTTGATAAACTATAAATCATTCTTTCATCTATCTATCTGTCTGTCTGTCTGTGTTGCTAGCATGGTAATAGCTACTAAGGGCATCAAAAGTATGCTCCATAGCAAAATACCACAGACAGAACAAAGGATGGTAAGAAAACATTGTGCGAAATGTATTCTCTCTGGAGTGTTTTCTATGATGAAGTACCTACATTTCATAACCCATCCAAGAACAAGGCATCTAGATTGAGAAAGGGACAGGCTAAAGGGAAAACTAGAGAATGGACAGGGACGTTCATAAGACAGAAAATCTTGGCACAGGAAAAACATACAAGTTCTTATTATTTTTAGAATTATTTTATTCAATTTTATCCATCCTCATCATTATTTTTTGTTTAATTCAAACTGAGAGAGACAGTGACAGAGTGAGAGAGGAAAAGTGAGAAAGTAAGCGACCAGGTCCAGGACCTGAACCATGATAGGCCACATGGGAGTCCATGGTCTCAACCACCATGCCACCTGCCAGCCTCAACACATAAGCTATTATTGATGTTTTCACATCTTTCTTGAGTCACCATGATGGGCTTATGTACCTCTGGTATCCCTCAACGTGATGAGCTTAGACCTGGGACTGTGCGGCCATTGCTACTGATCTGGCTTTGCTTTAGATGGTAAGCTCCGAAAGGCAGGTGCTACGTCCTATTCAATGCTGGTCTCCAGCATCTGGTGTATTGCCTATCACAGTGACTCTTCACAACATTTTTAATGACTAGTAAGAGAGATTAATCTCATACGCATTTGCGATGGATATTAATATTTTTCCCCCTTTACAGGTAAAAAAATAGAGGTAGAGATGGTAAGAACTTGTCTGAGGCCCTTGATCATTTGAACTCATGCACACTAATTCTAAAATCTGCATGTTACAACACACGATTGCTATTATGAAATAAGCATAGGAGCCTCTAAGGAGCCCATTATTCTAATAGAAATGTTTAAAATGTGCTAAGATGAACAAGAGCTGGAGCTCAAAGTAAAAACTGTCTCAATGCCTGAAGTAATTACCGTATCATTTTTTTTCTTTTCTTTTCTTTTTTGTTATCTTACTGGAATGTGCATCTGCTGGCCCAAGTGAGACAGAGAGACAGAGAGGGAGAGAGATAAAATATCCCTTATGGGGCATGGTCACGACATAATTCCTTCTCTATTTCTTCATCTTGACAGGATTTGAGGCACACTTGGTCATGCACTCAGTGTGTTTGACAAGCTCCCAGGGCCAGAATTCAAATTGCAGTCAGCCATGTGGGATCCAGCCTCCTTACCCGCTAGGCTACAGGGCCGGCCCTTTATTTATTTTAAATAAAGTATCACTAAGGCACTCTATTTTTAGAATGACTGTACTTTCCCCCCCAATATTACTATTATGTGATATAAAATCATTATGTGTTACGTTACATCTTACAAGCGTATGGGCGAAGAAGTCTATCCATCCCTAGAGTAAGCCCAGATGGCCCTATGGTCACCCATATTGGTAGAAATACTTCCAGGTATAAAAAAATTACTGGAAATAAGGTTTGCCATTTGGGCTATGATTTGAATTTCCATACCAATTTTTCTAGTTGTCAAAGTCTTTAGGTGTGGACTTTTTAAAATTCTTTGGAAAATAGTTTGCATCACCTTGAGGAATGGAGGTTATATTGGTATCAGCAATGCGGATGTACGAAAGCTTCTTCATTCCCTGGAAGGCTCCGTTTTCAATTCCTGAGCTTTTCAGCGGATTAGTACCCAGTTCTACAAATATATTAAGTGCAAGGTTTTTAGAGGAAATTTTAAGAAATTACAAGTCAGAGTAATGCCTTATTTTATTTTATTTTTTTTAGAGATTTTTGCTATAGGGCGCGTGCGCTCGCCAGACAGAGAGAGACATAGAGACAGAAAGCGAGAAATCACCCCCCAGGGGGGTTGGCCACGCCGCAATCCCTTCTCCTCCATTCTCCTCTCAGGATCTTGGGCACGTACGCACACATGCCCGGCGTGAGTTTCAAGCCACCGGGTCCGGGATGCGAACCGCGGTCAACTACGTGGGAGTCCAGCGACATAGCCATTACGCCAACTGCTGGTTCCCATAATGCCTTATTCATAAAGGAATCTAGAAAGAAATTCGAGTCAATAAAATTTGATTAAAAACAAAAGAAAATTAAGATATACTTTTCAAAAGAATAGCAAAATAGGATAAAAATTTCTTTTATTAAAACATAAAACAAAATAATATCAAAGGATTCTTTTTAAAATATTGGTAGCAAAAACAATAACAACAAAATTATTTGAGGTACATACTCAAGTTTGCCCAGGAATCTGCTAAAGCAAGTGTTTATAGATCACATTTTATGCTATTATTTTCCTAAATTATTGAAATGTTGTTAAAGAATTTGAATGTAGCATTTTGCAATCTAATTCTAAATTTATAAATTTTAAGTGAACGTTTATCAAAGCATTCTAACGCTTTTTTTAGAGACAGATTTTTGCTATTGGGCATGTGCCCTTGCCAGAGAGACAGAGACAGAGGAACAGAAAACGAGAAATCACCCCCCAGGGGGGATGGCTACGCCGCAATCCCTTCTCCTCCATTCTCCTCTCAGGATTTTGGGCACGCAACTTCAACTTGATGTTTCTATAACATTCACATATCCTCAAGGATAAGGAATAAAGACATCATGGTAAGGCACTGATTCAAAGTCCCATGTCTCCTGGCCCTGGTACCATGATTCATATGGGCTTAAGGCAGGTAGGCTGCAGCTATCCACAGCTATCTATCTCCTTACAGCCAAAGTGTACTTAAAATCTCTTCGGTCAAACTTGGATCCTGGTCTAATTGTAATAAGAATATCTGTACCTATGACAATCATCTGGTTCATTCCATTGAACACAGCTTTTCGCACTTTGGTGATCTCGTTCTCATGGGCACGCAGCTCTTGCAGAGTTTTGGGCATTTTTTCTGGCAATTCCTTCAGCTGATTTTTGGACAGATAAAGTCGTTCCAACTTCACCAAAGGTGCAAATGCTCCAGGGCTGATTTTGCTAATTTTGTTATTAACAAGGATCAATGCCTATAGATAGTAAACAGAAAGAACATCTCCTTAAAGCTAAAACCGTTCACATTCATATAAAGCAAGTTCATAGTTATTCATTTCACTCAGGGACTAGCAGAGAAACCTAGACAATAGCAAAACATTGTTAAAAAGGAGGCAGATATGATTTCTTAAGAAATGTATATGAATTCATTCTATGGCTTGGTGTTTGAGGCAGCTGGATCCCACAGGGTCAACCATGGTTCAAATCCTAGCTCTGAGTCTTTAAAGAACATGCCAGGCATGTGTGCATGGATGCCCAGAATCCCAACAAAGTAGAAAAATGAAATCAAGGGGACTGCAACATGGCCATGCTTTCTCTATGGGAAGCACAAGTGGTCTCTGGTGATTAAAAAAAGAAAGAAAGAAATGTATAATATAAAAATATAAACATCAAAAATAAATGAGAGGAATGCTTTTTAAATATATATATATATATATATATATATGTGTGTATAAATTTAAATAATAAATAGTTCTAAAGATTGAAATTCCTGGAGTAACCCAAAATACATAAAATAACCAATGCCACTGACATCCATTGCCCAGTTAGCTTTTCAACCCTTAAGTCCATCTTCATTGACGGTTATCATAGATTCTACTATAAAAGGGAGCTACTGATTTAAACTACTGCCAGCGATACAAGAAACTAAAATTCTCTGGAAGCCTCACAAAATTAGATATTATCTTTCTGAAAAGTTTGGCCAAATTAATAATCATGTTATAGGACTAGCCACTGTAGGATTGTGGTAACTGTAACACCTGCTGCACTGGAAGCCATATGGCAAGCGCAGTTCGGATTCTAGGTGGTCCTGAAAAACATGCCAAGACCATGCGTAGACCATGTGTGGGTGTGCAGGATACTGTGGAGCCGGAGGGCTGAGGGAAGGAGATTGCAGCATATATAATAAGACCCGATCAAAGGTTCTTTTTTTCTCTCACTTATATTTGTGCATGTGCTTTGAGTCATAAAAACAAAACAAAACAAAAAACAAACAAACAACAAAACAATAAAATAATGGGGGAAATTATGTAATAGCTCAATGCTTTCGTTTGCATTTCCTTGTCACTTTAAAGGTTAAAGTAGTTTTCTTTTGTTTTTCTACCATTTGTTGTTTATTTTCAGAGGGAGGGAATTACCTATTCACAAATACATTTGTTTTTTCTTTTTTTTTTCTTTTAAGAGAGATTTTTGCTATAGGGCACATGTGCTTGCTGGAGACACAGAGACAAAGAGAGAGAAAGTAAGAAATCACACTCCCTGGAAGGATGGCCATGTTACAGTCTCTTCTCTTCCATTCTCGTCCCTGGATCTTGGGCACACACCGTGTGTGAGTTTAGAGCTGCCAGGTCTGACTCAAACCACAGTTAGTCATATGGGTGTCCAGCTCCCAAACTACTATGCCACCTGCTGGCCCCAATACATTTTGTTTTTATGGATTTTAATATATTTTAACATTAATAAATTAATATTTAATATTTAATAATTTAATATATTTTAACATTACAGAATAAAGGTTGAAAGAGACATATTTTCTTTCCTTTTTTTGCCTTTTATTATGTAAAAATTTCACACAATACATACGTTATTATTTTTAATAATTTTTAAATTTTTGTTTCTGAGTTCTCAAAGTGCAGGAAATTATCTCTAATTTATTACTATACTATTATACTATACTATTATATATATGGCTATTGTTAAACCTATCTTTGAACTTCTTTATTGTGCTTTAATGATCATATAGCTAAAAGAATATATGTAATTTTTATTACTTAAGTCACTTAGTAAACTAATTTTAAGGAATCTAAAATAACTTCATCTAAGCCTAAGAAACTTGGATTCTTGGGAACCAGCAGTTAGCGTAATGGCTATGTCGCTGGACTCCCATGTAGTCGACAGCGGTTTGCGTCCCAGACCCAGTGGCTTAAAACTCACGCCGGACGCGTGTGAGTGCATGCCCAAGATCCCGAGAGGAGAATGGAGGAGAAGGGATTGCAGCGTGACCATCCCCCCTGGGGGGTGATTTCTCGCTTTCTGTCTCTCTGTCTGTCTGGCGAGCACATGTGCCCTATAGCAAAATCCTCTCCAAAAAAAAAAAAGAAAGAAACTTGGATTCTCAAGACACCCAAAGTGGCGAAATGGTGGGGCTTAATGAAATATGCCCAGTCTTAATTGTCATCTATTAGGAAAGTTTTGCATGCTTGATATAATTAAAGTCTTAGAAAGGTATTATTTTATGTTAAGTGCTGGCTGACTTTTAATATCATAAACATGTTTCTCCAAAGCCACTTATTTAGGACTGACACTGTACCAGATACTGTTGCTGATATTAGAATATTTAAATTACTATCATGTCTATAGGCAATTATTAGCGCATATGATGAAGTCAGACTTGTCTTGAGGTTAGATCGCATGCTCTGGCACTTAATCGCTGTTCCTGGCTATGAACAAGTAGCTTAACCCCTCTGTGCCTGTGTTTCCTCATCTACATAAAAGGGATGTCATATCTACCTTAAAAAAATAGTTATAAGGATGAAATAAGTTAGTGTATATCAGGTATAAAACCAGTACCTTATATGCACTAACCACAAAACAAGTGTTTGCTATCAATCAGTCTTTGATAATTTTTTAAAATTTTTAGTAAGAAGGGATGAGCAGTTAGCATAATGGCTATGTTGCTGAACTCCAATGTAGATGACCATGGCTTGAGTTCCAGACCTGGTGGCTTAAACTCATGCTGGGCACGTGTGTATGCATGCCCAAGATCCCAAGAGGAAAATGGAGGAGAAGGGATTGTGGCATGGTCATCCTTCCTGGGGTACATCACTGTATTCCCACATAGTCAACTGTGGTTTGATTCCTGAACCAGGCAGCTTGAAACTCATGCTGGGAGTGTGTGCGTGCATGCCCAAAATCCTGAGAAGAGAATGGAGAGGGAATTGTGGCATGATCATTCTCCCTGGGGGGATGATTTCTCGCTTTCTGTCTTTCTTTGTCTTTCTCTGTCTGTCTGGCGAGTGCACGCACCCTATACCAAAAAAAAATTCTCAAAAAATATAAAGAAAAAGCTTCTTTACTAGATTTTTAAAACTTTAATTCAAAGGAACTATGTTAAATGTTGATATTTTATTTTCTATTATTTTATAGAAAAATTATGTCTTATAGCTTTTCTACCAGATGTAAGTATGAAACCTCTCTTATACAAGAGGTACCATTCATCATGAACCACTCAGTTGTAAAAGGATAAAATTATTGGTGAATAAAGGAACATTTTTCTGTTAAATTCTTTGTTTTAATCCTTGCTATTTTTTTAATACTTTTTCTTCCTTCTCATTCAAGTGTGGCTATCCTAGTTGAAATTATGATGTTTATTTACATAATAACAAGGATAGACATGATTATGAATGAACAAGTAAGAGAATAATAGTTGTCTAACTCTTCTGAATGGTTGCAAACTCTAATAAATGGTCTCCCTTCTTCTTTGAAGTAGAAAAAAATGAATCGCCAGGATGATGGTTGCCTGAAAACATACTTAGCAGACTTGGCAAAAGAAAGAACACACTATTACAAATGCCAAACTAGAACATAGAAACTAAATGTCTCTTATTTAAGAATATAGAGTTTTTAAAAATTAATTAGATTATTCTTTAATACACAGGAAGTTGAGATTAGAGTAAAAGAATGATCCTTCACTCTAGTCATCTGTTCTTGGACATTTGGGTTGATTCAGTATCTTAGCAATTATGATAATGCTGTAATAAACATGGATACGCACATATTTTTTTTTTTGACTAAGTATTTTCTTATCCTTCAGGTAAATATCCACAAGTGGAATTACAGGGTCATATGGTATTTTTATTTGTAGGTTTTTGAGGAAACTCCATGCTGTTCTCTACAATGGATGTACTAATTTACATTCCCTCCAATAGTATAGGAGCATTCTCTTTCACTCAGCCATAAAAACAAAACAAAACAAAAAACAAACAAACAAAAACCAATAAGACCCTGACATTTGATACAAAGTGAATCAAAGTGAATGAATATGGAAGAGTTAATGCTGAGTGTAGCAAGCCAGACTATGAAAGAGAGACACTGTATGTCCCTACTCAATATGTACCAAATATCTACACTCTGTGGCAGAGACTGACAGATGGGAAGGTACAATAGCAGGGAGCTCAACTGTAGGTAGTTGAGACAGTATACGAGGAATTGGGTAACAGGGTGGGAAGGAGGATATCAGGGAAAAAAAAAAACATTTAACGCAAAGGTGAATGAAAAGTTTTTGATAATGTATATGGTAATATCTCTGATTTAATTTATATACACTTCATTCATGCTGGGAAAACCATCTCATGCACTATAAAGATGCAGAGTAATTCAATGTAAATTTAAAAGTTATGAAAAGAAGAAAGAAAGAAAGAAAGAAAGAAAGAAAGAAAGAAAGAAAGAAAGAAAGAAAGAAAAAGAAAGACAGAAAAAGGAAGAAAGAAAGAAAGACCCTTAAGGTGAAAGCAGAGAGCTGCTAAGCAGGGGCTGGGGCCTAGCATTCTCTCAGGGAAACAGACTCCATTGGTCCAAGGGGACCTACAGCTCAAGCCTTACCCTTCCCTGTTTCTGAGCCTGTATCTTTCACTCTACCCAGTTTGTGATTTATCTGCTGCTTATTTTCTTATGCCTTTGCTTTCTTCTTGCACAGAAAGCCTTCTTTTTTTTTCTCTTTCCACTTTTCAAAATTCTGCTAATCCTCTGATATTCTGCTGTCCCATATTGTTTCAGGGCAGTAACTGGTAATCAGATACGTGGTGATGCCTGATTTTTTTTCCTTACTCTGCACTCTGAACACTCACTACTTATATTATGCTTATATTGTAGACACATCAGTAATTGACAATCACATTTTATTATGTGTCACTATTATTATTTTAACCCATCCCATGTAGGACCCTAAAATCTTAGGAAAAATATCTTTGTTTCCTTTAAAATTCTAGTATCCCTTCCTCATGGATAAATGTTTATTGTGTTTCCCATCTTGGCTATCAGGAAGTTTATAATAGGCACAGCCATGGTTGTGCATCCAGAAGCTACTGTTTGGTAGGCTGAGGTCACATGGACAATCCAGGTTCAAGTCCCAGCCCACTCTAAAAGCTGAGGTGTGGTGGTGCACACCTGTAATCCCAGCTTCATGGGAAGCTGAGGCAGGAAAATCGCGATATAGCAAGACACTGTCACATACACGACACATAAATACACACACACACACACATACACATAGACATTACACACACACGTACACATAAATACACACACATACACAGAAAGTTCATAACTAAATCTTAAGTATTAACTGTACATTGTATTATGGCCAGCTTGTGCTGTTTTATATTATTTCTCCTGTACTCATATTTATTATTCAAATATGTAGCACCCAGATGTTTTATTTTATATGTATTTAATAGCTTATTCTTAATATGTAATGACTAGAAGAAACAAATGGGTGTGGGGCCGGATAGTGGAGTAGCATTAACGCCACTGGACCCACACAGAAAGGTGCCATATTTGTACCCCAAAGCCTCCCTGAATACATCAGGCACACATGCACACCCATGAGCCAGGCTGGCTGAGACTGAGGGTAGACTGCAGATTGAGGACTCCATTGGGAGTACCTGTCTTTCTCTCTCTGAAGAAATATTTAGTATTTTTAGATTGAAGACTCAGTTTGAAGACTCCGTTGGGAGTACCTGTCTTTCTCTCTGAAGAAATATTTAATTTTTTAAATGATGTAAAATTAGAGATGATATGTTTTTAAGAATGTATTTCTATGATATCCATTATAAGAAGCTGTTAGCTCTTATCACCACAGGTAGGTAACACATCACTGAGCAATCCTTTCCATTTTCTGAACATTCTAACAGTTTCAATTACATTTTTAATGTCAAACAAAAATTTTCTTCCTGAAATCTCCACTCACAAGGTCAATTCTGTCATCTTTTTACTCAATGCACGTAAATATGATGGCTTTCAAATATGTCACTAGTGATTCTTTTACATTCAGTTGTGACATCTACATCTTAATCATTTGTGCCCACAAGACATGATTTCCAAATTTTTTCTTCCCATTTTTATCCTCTGTATGCTTTTATTTTTTAAGGTTTTTTGCCATAGGTTGTATGTGCTTGCAAGAGACAGAGACAGTGAGAGAGAAACTGAGAAATCACCCTACAGGGGGCATGAAACATGCACAATCCCTTCTCTTCCATTCTCTTCTTTGGATTTTGGGTGCACATATGCACATGCACCGCATTTGAATTTCAAGCAGCCACCTCCAGTACTGAAACTGTGGTTGGCCCTGTGAGATTACAACTCCACAACCACTATGCTATTTGCTGGTCCCTCTCTGTATACTTTTTAATGCCATTCTTAAAATGTCCTGCGGAGGACCAGACTCTGCTTCAAGAGTGGCCTACCAGAATGGACTTCAAACAGAGATTTTCTTTTTTTTTTTTTTTTTTTTTTGGAGAGGATTTTGCTATAGGGTGCATGTGTTCACCAGAAAGACAGAGAGAGACAGAGAGACAGAAAGCAAGAAATCAACCCCCAGGGGGGATGACCACATTGCAATCCCTTCTTCACTCTCAGGATCTTGGGCATGCACGCAAACGCGCCTTGTGTGAGTTTAAGCCACCTGGTCCGGGACTCAAACCGAAGTTAACTACATGGGAGTCCAGCAACATAGCCATTAGGCCAACTGCTGGTCCCCAGACAGAGATTTTCATAGTATATCTTTTGGGCTTTAAAATCTGACTTATTTATATTAAAAAATGTATTGATATTTTGATGAAAAACCACAACATACTCATTCCATAGATAGAGAGCTACTCTACATAAGTTTTATAACAACTGTAGTTTTATAACTATTTGAACAGTTAATGCATTACTCATGCAGAGGCTGCCTGAATAAAGCTTAACCCTCCTTTAGTGGGTTGGCCATTTTCCATTTACAACATGCCCTTTTCCAACTACAGTTATATTTATTCTTTGCTCTTTTGGGCTTTCTGTGTGTCCTGAGAAGCTGACTTCTGGGGACTGCATCAATTAAATCCCCTCACCATCTGGCCTCCAGGTAGGTTCAGCCAAAGGAGACAACACTGCAGGAAATGAGAAGATGCCCCATCGCTCTTGCTCTTCTGTGGCTCTTGGACCCCCTACATTCTTCAAACCTTGTGGGCTTGGGTGCTTCCCAATGCCTTGATGGTGCTCATATGTATAATATGTAAATAGTTCCTTCAGCAAAGTCTCTTCCACTAAAGCCTTTTAAGAGTGTCTTGTCTTGGAATTAGCCGATGGTGTAATGGTTATGTCACCGGACTTCCACGTAGTCAATCACAGTTTGAGTCCCAGACCCAGTGGCTTGAAACTCATGCTGTGTGTGTGTGTGTGTGTGTGTGCCCAAAATCCTGAGAGGAGAATGAAGGAGAAGGGATTATGGTGTGGCCATCTCCTCTGGGGAGAGGGTGATTTCTCACTTTCTCTCTCTCAATCTCTGTTTGTCTTATTTGTGAGTGCACAAGTTCCATAGCAAAAATTTCGCTTAAAAAAAAAAAAAAAAAAGAGTGCCATCTCTTTTCGGATGGACCAGTAAAGTGGACATATGATAAGGTAGAGGTTAGTGAAAATAAAAATAAAAATGCAGATAAGGATGAAGCACACCTAAGTGTAAACAGAAAACAAGAACTATGAGTACATGTACACATACACACACATGTAAATACATGTGGGAACTTCACAAAGTTTGTGGAAAAATGAGGTTAAAGTATGAGTTTATTTTGGTACAAAAGTACTTTGAAATACACACATACTCTTTCATAATACACAAACTTTTGAAGACCCCTTGCATATGTGTGTATCTATCTATGAAGGAAGAGAGAATTACATTTACTAAATAAAATATGGATAATTATCCATTTTTCTCTTGATGCAAGTTGACACTTTTGAAGATCATTCACACTTTTAGTTGTTTAAATGAAGGAAGGCAAAGAAAAACAAAAAAAAAGTCGTATCATGATCAATCTATTTTATATTTGGTTCCACTATTTTTTTTTTTTTGGAGAGATTTTCGCTGTAGGGCGTGTGCGCTCCCCAGACAGACAGAGAGAGACATAGAGACAGAAAGCGAGAAATCACCCCCTCATGGGGGATGGTCACGCTGCAATCCCTTCTCCTCCATTCTCCTCTCGGGATCTTGGACACGCATGCACACGTGCCCGGTGTGAGTTTTAAGCCACCGGGTCCGGGACGCGAACCGCGGTTAACTACGTGGGAGTCCAGCGACATAGCCATTACGCTAACTGCTGGTTCTCTGGTTCCACTATTAAAGTACAGTGTTGAGAAGATAAATATTTTATTCATGAAAACATAAAAAGATATTAAGAAGTAAAGCTTTTTCTAAAGTAAATATTAAAGATATATAGTGTGTATAAAGAAAATTGAACAATTTTCTAGTGGTTAATGAAAATTATATTTTGTTTCCCCACAACTGCCAAAAACAGAGTTTAATAAATACTTGTGCATTGATTTATTAGCATGTAGTACTTTTGACCTTCTATAATATTTGTTTTGAAAAATAGTCTAAGTTATATCTTATTATAATTAAAAAACAGAAAGTTGTCCTTACGTGAAGATTTTTCAGGTTCTTAAAGTCCCCATCTTTGATTTCTGTTATTTTGTTGTTTTGTAGGTCCAGCAGTGTTGTGTCAGGGGGGAGATCTTTTGGCACTTTGTCCAGACCTAGCATAAGAGTAAAATAAGTATGAAATGTGCAGTCACAAAAAAAGGGATATTTAAATACAGAATCACAAAGGATGCATTATAAAGAAATTCATGTTGTAATGATAGTTTTAACATATTTTTCTTCTAAGAATTACATAAATTACAGTTGAAAATGTTTGCTTTATTTTTTCCAACCAAGTTGGATATTTTCTTTAGTAATACACAGAACAGAATATATTCTCCACACAATTACTCTTTTGCGAAGGAGAAAATTTCTATTTTGTAAGGTATAGTTTGAATCGCTTGGTACACACCTTTATCTCACTATTCTTGTTTAAATGTTCAGTACAAGTGATTTGTAAATCTACATATTTCTACATAAATTTCCTGTCAATAGAGAACAATTCTAGCCAAATCATGACCCACAAAGATCATTTGGATAAATCTAACACTGTCACAGATCTATTTTTTTTAAAAAAAAATGATTTTATTTCATTTTATTTATCTATTCATTTATTCTAATTTGACCAGAGAGAGAGAGAGAGAGAGTGAGAAAGCAAGCCACCATGTCTGGGACTTGAACCATGGTCGGCCATGTGGGAGTGTCTAGTACCTTAACCACTGTGCCACCTGCTGATCCCCAGATCTACTCTTAAAATTAAAATGATAGGAATATGTAATCAAGCTGTTGTGTCAACAACTTGAAAATTTATCTAAACTTCTGGAAGAAGAAGAATTTCAGCTTTAAGGGATACCAAAATAATGTCACTTTTTCTTTTTTTTTTTTTTTGAGAGGTTTTTGCTATAGGGTGCTTGTGCTTACCAGAAAGAAGAGAGACAGAAAGATAGAAATCACCCCCGGGGGGATGGCCACACTTCTCCTCCATTCTCCTCAAAGGATCCTGGGCACGCATGCACATGCGCCTCAGATGAGTGTAAGCCACCGGGTCCAGGACTTAAACTGTGATTGACTACATGGGAGTCAGCAACATAGCATTAGGCCATCAGCTGGTCCCATATCACTTTTATTTGATACTTTACTTCCAATAGATATATTGCTAATTAGAATAAAATTAGATAAATTTGGTATTGTAATTTTCCTAAAATTAATTTTATAAAGCATTACTTTTGGACTTTAGATTTAGGTCTAAGTAACTGAGTTTTGTTCTCAGTTTATAAATGTGAGCAGATTGAATAAATGATATTAAAAAAATTCTAATTGTCATTCACCTAGATATGTAAGGATAGCTCAGTTTTACTAAAAAGATATGTCATTTCGAATAAATCATTTAAGTAGGAATAGAGAATAATATTACAGAATGTCTTTTGTATTGGCTTTGTTCCATATTGATGTACAATGTTAAGTACATCTTTGATATTTTGTTAACTCAAATTCATTTGATAATTTTGTTTTTTAAGATTGCATAAATATACATAAGAAATGCTTCAACCTTCTGTAGAAGAAACATCTCCATCATATCTGAAACTTGAAATGCTAAAGATCATTATTTCATTCACTCACCAAAGTTTTGTCTAGTGCCTTCTAGACATCATCAATTTATTAGCTCCCAGGGATACAATAAGTGAAAGAAATTCCTCACATTCTTATGGACCATACAATGCAATCTCACTTTTCAATTAAAAATAAAATTACAACAAGATATAATCAATGTTATTTTGGGGAGATACCTTTCCCACTTTGAGTTTCATAAACACACTTGTAAACCATCATGGTGGCCATATTTCATCGATCTTCATTCCATACATGAAAATTACCACCAAAAAAAAAATCTGGAATCACCTACTTTTTAGTTCTTTCCAAATGATTTTTTGTTCACAGTATCACTGCTTTGGTGACAGTTGGGAAAAAAAAAGTCTTTTTTCTAATTTATTGACCAGCTACCTTTATAAATTTGGATATCAAAATGCAGGTGAATCTGAACTTGCATAAATATGTTACAAAAATATAATACCACAGAAACAGTTACCATAGAAATAGCAAGAATGAAGTGTTTTCAGTGATGAACAGTAAAACACTCAGAACAGCTACGTCGTAGGAGGATATTTAACAGCACTAGGCAGTCATAATTGCTGCCATTTTCAGAAATGTCAATTTGCTAATTTCCATGCAATTAGAAGTGGTAGATTTCTGCCAAATCTTGGCTAATTAGAGCTTTTCAATGAGGAAAATACACATTCCCTTTTATTTGGGACCAGTTACTGTCTACATTTCATTATTACTGCTTAGGCTTCTTTGTTAAAGTCTAAATTTCACTTATGCTTTACTTTATACTTTGATGAACTTAAATTCGAATAATGCTTTCAGCATTTGGTCAATGGCAACCTGTAGATAAAATTTTAGATGTGGAAGGAAACGGTGATGTGTCTGTATGGCTGACATTTTTGATTATGTTGTCATCTTAGAATTTAATAACAACAGGAACTGCTTGTAGTGAATTATATATTTTTTATTTCTAAAGCTCTAGCATTTAAAAATATCGTCTTCTGGCTTATAATTTTTGCAATTTAGTTCTTAGAGAACCACTCACTGTTTTTGATTTAAAAAACATAATCTTCTAACCTGGTCTGAAGTACTAGTAAATTCACATCTACTGGAAGATTTCACATATTTATGTGTCACTATTATGCCATATGTAGTTTTAGATTGTTATTTTATTTTTTAGAGAAAGATTTTTGCTATAGGGTATGTATGCTCATCAGAGAGTCAAAGAGACAGTGAAACATTAAACAAGAAAACACTCCCCAGCAGGGATGGCCACGCTGCAGTCCCTTCTCCTCCAGTCTCCTCTCAAGATCTTGAGCATGGATGCACACGTGTTTGGCTTGGGTTTTAAGCCACAGGGTCTAAGACTCCAATTGTAGTCAACTACATAGAATCAAGCAATGTAACAATTACGCTATCTGCTGGTCCCTATATTTTATTTTATAATAAAAATATTTTATCTTTTTATTCTCATGATATCATGAGAGATAGATAAAGGTAGATATCCCAGTGAGACAGATAAAGAAGTATAATTTTATTTTTCCCTATAATTTTTAGAGAAGGTTTAATGACATGAACAAGCTAATCTATCTGAGAGTAACAAATTGTGGGCTATAAGGCAATTCTCCTGGCTTCCATTGTGACATTTTTTTGCTAGGTCTATCTATGGTCCTGAAAATAATTGTTCTGACATCAGATATCATATGCTGAATATTTAAGAGTTAGGAATGATGCTGGGGAGGGCAACTTGGTGGCATAGTAGTTAAAGTACCTGCCTACTGAGCAGTTCAAAACTCAGAACTAGTGGCTTAAAAAACACACCAGGCACATGTGTGTGCATGCACAAAATTCTGAGAGAAGAATGGAGGAGAATGGATTGTAATGTGGCCAAATCTCCTGCAAGGTACTTTCTCTCTCTCTCTCTTTCTCTGTCTTTCTGTCTCTGGTGAGCACACATGCCCTCTAGTAAATTAAAAAAGAACAACAACAGAAAAAAAGAAAAGATGTTGGGGTGTTGATTAGCTTGCTCAAATACAAGAGGTAGTATACAATGGGAATATTACCCCTGTTGTGGTTTCTTAGTCACAAGAGAAAGACCCTTAAATATCAGCTAGTCTATAGTTTCCAAATGCTGGTCAGATGGACTATACCATGAGGTCTTCATCAGTCTATACCAATATGAAAAAAAAAATGAATAAGGGCAATTTGATTAATTTTAATATAAATATCACACACACACACACACACACACACACACACACATTCCTGAGACAAGTTTCTGCTTCTATTTCCTTTTCTACTTTTAAATATACCATCTTTAATAAATTATTGTAATAGGAGATTGCAAATTATATTTTGTTGAGTTTGATTTTAGCTTTAATAAGAAATTAACCTATTCTTGGGATCAGCCTATTGCATGGTTATTAGGGTGGCTGAATTCCACATGGCTGACTGTGCAGTTCAAGTCCTTGATTCAGTGCCTTGAAAAACACACCAAATGTGTGTGTGTGTGTATGTGTGTGTGTGTATGTGTGTGTGTGTCCAAAATCCCCAAAGGAAAGTTGAAGAGGAAGGAGTACAGTGTGGCCATTCGCCCTAGCAGATGCTTTCTCACTTTTCCTTTTTTTTCCTCCAGTGAGTGTATGTTCCTATAGCAAATTAAAAGAAAGAGATAAATTAACTTGTTCAACATTCAGAAACATTTTACTGGCCCAACCACAGTAGCATGTACTGGACACTGCTGCTCAGGAGGCTGAGGCTATACAGAGGGCTCATCCTGAAAAACTAGGCATAGTGGCACTTGTCCCTACTATCCAAGAGGCTGAGGCACAGAATTGTAAAATGACATACCCCATTGAAACACACATGCACACACACACACACTCAATAAAGTTTACTTGTGCCAGAAGTCAGGAAGTTCTAAGTCAGTCCAGCCTTCTCTTTTCATAAGTAAAGAAACAAATCTAGAGAAGCTAAATAACTTATCCAAGACACATCAAGCCTGAAGTAGATCAATTACCAATATGGTTTGTGTCCTCACTCAAGAACTATGTGGTATTCTATTTATGTATGTGACCACTTGCATCTTTTTTTTTTTTTTTAATGCAAATCTGGGGCCAGCTGATGGTGCAGCAGTAATGCAGGGCTCTGCAATGCTGGATGCACCTGGGAAGAGTTTGCATCCTGAGGCCTTCCTGTACATGCTGGCATGCACACTCCTGGAGCCAGGCTAACTAGATGACAGTATGAAGACTCTTGTGGCTCACTCTCTCTTTATTTCTGGTTCTCTCTCATGGAAGGATTAAGTAAATAAGCTAAAAAAAAAAGTGATAATCTATACCTGCCCTTGAACATAGTGTGCTCACTCATTCCTAACTCTAACACTTATTCCCTTCTACTTTCAGTCTAATAAACCTCAAAAACTTTTCCATTATGCCTCCTCCTTTATAATACTCATCCTGATCATCATCCCAGATAATAGTGATCTCACAACACCCAACTCCTTATAGACCTT